GGCCCACAGTGGGAGAAAGGCAGGTAGCAACCTTGTTGCAGGTAGCACATCATGTCAGTCTTTTCTGCCCTAGTGCAGGGGGGCTGGACCTGATGATCTCGGGGTCCCTTCCAGCCCCTAACATCTATGAATCTATGCCCCCTCTCCTTTGTTATACAGGCTACTGATTGCATTGCTGTACGTCTTGGGCAAACAATAGACTCCATTAGGCGGGTTCTGATCTTGCCAGCTCTGAGTGATGTATCCTCCCTTTTTAATGAGCAACTCTTTGCAGCAGAGTCAGGTGTTGGTGCTGTGCTGCCCTAGGGTCCTTTGAAGCAGAGAGGTTCCCAGCTCCTGTACGATGGAGAAACTCCTAAGAGCTGTTCTTGTTAGGACTGCAGTAGCCATGGGGCATGCAAAGGCAGGCTGTTGTGGACCCATCCAGCAGGGCAAGGTGGCGTCTGTAGTTGCTGTTCTGCTGGTCTTAGTTTTCCCCAGCTTGCAACAAGATGTGTGGGGGTGGTTGCCTTCCTCTATATTGTGGGGCATGGCCCTTTTCCTGGGATCTTCCAAATGCATGCTAAGCAACTATTTCCCTGTTGTTGCAGTGGCAGGGCATGGGCACTGCCTTTGTTTCTCTGCCTTTTACCAATGTCATGTCACAGTTTGGATAGCCTTTGTTGCAGTGGGGGTAGAGGTTCGCGGTGGTGATGAGGGGTTCCTGTGTTGCTGATTGCCTGTGAAGGTAGGGGCTGCATTTGACGGGCCAGGATGCCCCTCCCTGTTCTACACTCCTGTGTCTTCAGCTGGCCAGGGTCAGCACTGACCTGCTGCTGCTCTCAAATGACTGGAGATCAGCTAGTATCCTCTAACTCAGGGCTTCCCAAAGTTTTTTTGTCATGGCCTGGCAAACTGCAGCCTGGAAGTGGCTGTGGCCTGGCAAACCACAGCCCAGCAGTCACAGCCGATCGTGGCCAGAATTTCTGGCTGGAAGACAGGTAAGGACACCCCCACCCCTGGGCAGGGGGGTGAGCCAAACCCTGGGCTGCCGCGGGCCCTGCAGGAGGAGCTGTGGCCTCTCCACCCAGCTCTGGGGGGGGCCATGGTTTGCCGGTCCGTGGCCACTTCTGATCTGGCAGCCTGCCTGCTGTGGCCTGGCACCAGGCCATGGCCTGGGGACTGAGAACCCCTGCTGTAACTCCCTGATGCCGCTCATAGGTGATTTGACCTCCATTCTGGGATAGGTCCTCCCTTGGGGTATCCAAACCCAAGTTCCAGGACAGTCCCCTCCTCCTTTGACCTGGAAAGAATATAGAGGATGAAAATCCAGTATCCCTGGATTGTCCCTGGATTGGGACTTGGTGAAATTAGAGGTTCCTTTTTGGCTTTACTCCTGGCCTGCTCAATGAGCTTGGGCCTCAGTTTCTCTCTTCCTTAGTTTCTCCATCTGTAAAACGGGTGGTGATACAGATTTTGGTCAAGCTCTTTGTAATTAATAGGTGGAGAGATTTGTGGGAGAGCTGCATGGTGTTCTGTATGGGAGCAGTGTTAGGAGGCCACAGCTGGAAGCAGAAGCCTGTGGTAGAGGTGTGACACAGTTGTGGAGTAGTAGGGAGGCTCTGGGAGCTCCCCTCTGAAATACAGGCTCACTTTCAAAAGTTATTCCCAGCAATCTGTAGGGGGCTGTCTTTCTCCTCTGTGGATTGCACTGGAGGTTTGACACCCTTCAAAGAATCTGGCAGCACTTTGGTTGAGAATCACTGTAGTAGAGAAAGGACAATTCCAGGGAGAGACTTGCATCTTGGGTTTCTCCTTTAATGAACACTGGTATTTATTATCAACAGCATTTTCTTCTGAGTGATATAGATCCTTACCGTCCCAGCTTTCACCTCCTTCCTGCAATGGGTGTGAGTTTCCAAGTCTCCTCCCTAAAGCCCAGGTCATGGAGCTTGTCACTTTTACAATGTCCAAGCATCCTTTCAAATTCTTGCCTCACTGCCAGACAGTGACACGGTGTGTCTATATGAGGCGTTTACTGCAGAATAGACTAATCGCTCCTCAGTAAAGGTCTTAGCATCCACATGTGCAGGGCTATTAGGCTGGAGTAAACTAATAAACTCTGCAGCAGGGTAGTACTTCTAAATACAAATCCTTTTAAATATAAAGATATACAAGTATTTTTACTTTGCAGCAGTGCATGTGTAGACACTGATACAGCTGGTTGGGGCACCTTGTGACCTAGCCAGCCCCTTTGCAGTATGTTGAGCTGGGTTCAAGCAACTCCGGGCTGCTCTGATCCAGCTCAATGCGCTGCGGTCCCAGGAACAATAAACTCCGATGTGATATGCGCCGGAGTTTATTGCCTCGCATTAATATGTACATGTAGAAGCGCCAACTCAGACATGCCTAGCACTCGATTGACATGTAGAGTCTGTCAGACCCAGGTTACAAGGAAATTCTTGTGGCTGCTGTGGAAGAGTTGCTCTGCTCTGTGCATCCCCATGCCTGCATGCTCACACATGCCTGCATGTCTAGTGGTGCCTATGCACAAGCGCTGAGGCTGCTCCAATGCACTTGAATTCAAGCATGTTGGAGCAGACTTGATTAATTGAGTCTGTTGGAGTGTGGCAGTTACTACACTCCAGCAATCTCTTGTGTATCAGCATCCCTGTGCTTAAAAATGGTGGTGGGGCCCTTGAACTAAAGTTTGTTGAATGAGTTTTAATTCAAACACTCCCGCTGTCATTTTTAAGCACGGGGATGCTGATACAGGAGACACAGCAGTGCTTTAATTAGAGTAACTCTTGGAACTGGCCTAATTAGAGCACTGCCCTCCCCAACCTCAGAGCACGTGTAAAAGTACCCTAGATGTTTGCATTCTGCTGTCTGTGCTTGACTGGTTGCCCTGGGAAAGGCATAGACAGCACCGTGTGTGTGAGCAAACCCAGCCTTCTTGGACTCAACATTGGACTGAGAATAAGACCTGAGCAGCCATGCTGGGTCTGGCCCCTTCTGCTTCAGCAGTGTGGTCCTGTGGCTGCCAGGCCTGTGCCTGGGGTGGGATGGATGTGAGATCCCAGCTTGTCCCACACAGACCTGCCTCTGTATAACTCCTAGGATGCAGGTATTTGGGCTCTGCTTATCCGTGCCTCATAGCTATGGATGGAGATGGATGGGCCCTAATTCACCTGCCTCTTGGGTGTCTGCTTGCACTGATACCAAGGCTGTGAAATGCACGGCTGTTATGGGCGTGACATAATGACAGGTGGTTCAAAGCAATAGGGCACTAGCATCCTACGAAGTCTGGTGCATGGAGTCTTCTTGATGTTGCTGAGCCTCATTGTTCTTTCCACACCTTCCCACCCCAGCTGGTAGCTCTGTGGTTAGGGGCCATACACGGCATCTCACAGGTTCTATAAACTTGATCAGCTTGGCAGGTTTCTTTGCTTTTATGTATTACATTTGTCCCCCTGATCTCCTACTCAACCCATCTGCCTTGGAGTAAAGATTTCACAGATTTCAAAGCACTGAATAGCTCTTGGGTGGGGCTGAGGAAGCCAGTACCTCCTATTGGAAGGATGGTCCTGGTGGTAAGGGTCTGGCCTGGGACTTGGGAGAGCTGGGTAGGTTTGTGGCACTGCCACAGACTCCCTTTGTGACCTGGGACAAGGCCTTTGGTCTCCACTTTGCTGTGTACCAGTGTGCCCCCTCCACAGTTTCTCTTCACTGAGCTGCACTGCAGGGTGGCCAGGGGAGAGGGCTTGGGGTGAGAGCATTGAGGTTGGGTTTGACTCTGCTCTGACTTCAGAGCACTTAGAGCATTTGAAAGCCCTGCCCTAAATTCATCTGGAGGAGAGCAATTCCCAGCACAGACCCCAGTGCCACAGCTGTTCTCCTCAGTGCAGGAAACCTGGGGCTGAGTGGGCCCTGGAGATCGAATGTCCCTTTCTCCTCAGGTGCTCTGTCCAGGGCTGGGGTGAGGCATACTGAAAGTCTATACCCATGCTTGTGGGAATCAGCATCCATTCCCTAGGCCCATTACTCCAGCTGCATCTTTTGACATGGTGTTAGTGTCCATGAGTGCTCAGACATCAGACTTTCTCTGTGTCGGGGACCAGGGAGGTCATGTTCTCTGTGTGTTTAAACCAGAGCTGTTCAGTGTGTGAGTGGGACTTGGCTGCCTTGGGAAACATTGGTTGATTCTATGTGATGGTGATGGTCACAGTAATATGCTAGTTGAGGAAGCCATGAACATGAAATGCTATAGCTGGGTCCTGGAGACACAGACCTTGCATTTCAAAGCCGTGTGGGCCCTGTGAATGAGTGAAATGAGCTGGTTTCTGGTGCCTTGGTTCACTGGTCCTTGTTACAGGTGCTAGCTCTGCGGTGAGACTACCTGTCGCCCCTTCTGCCTTGTGGCCCAATCCCAGTCCTGTTGGCACTATTGGGAGTGATGCCAGGCTGTAGACTGGTTGAATGAACACCCAGAGAGCCAAACCCAGCCCTGTAAGTGCCTGCTGTCATAGGCCCCTGTCCCTGTTTAAGCAGATGGAGAATTTGATGTCCCATGCAGTGTAGTGCAGCTCTGTAGTCAGCCTGGAGTTTAGGCTTCAAGCCTAGCTTTGCCATGAAGAAACCAGCCTAAGGACCATATAGAGAAAGGAAGGGCTTAGGGCTGAGGAACTAAACTGGCACCTGGAGATCTGGTGTCAGCCAGCTTTGGCACAGGCTCCAGTCATTCTCTTCTCAGTTCACCTTTGTCTTGCTCTGCCTTTACTGTCTTCTGGCTAGCTCTCTGGGAATGCTCTCTTCTGTAGGTACAGCACTGAGCACAGTGGGGTGTTGGGGCATGTGAATGGTGGCTATCTTGGGTTGGAATCCCCATGGCTGGGTGGGGAATGGCTGGTGCTGGGGGTTGTCTGTGGGTAGGATCTGACTGCATTGGTTCTTCCAGCTCCACTGTGGATGGGGATGTGGCATGTCCCTCAGCATGAACCATCTCCTTTCTCCCTTGGCAGTATCTCTGCATACATCGCAGAAGAGAAGCCCTCAAATGTGCTGCCGCCAATTCACCTGGATGCATCTCAGAGCTGGGAGGCATGGGGCGTGAGGCCTGTCTCAATGGATATCATCGTCAACATCAATATGATCCACATCACACCAGTGATTTGCACTGAGGTGAGAGGCTGTCCTGGCCCTAATCCCTCACCTGGGGCTGTGGGAACCCCCTGGCCACAGGCTGAGCCCCTTGGAGCTGGGCACATACCCCACTTCTCTGGTCTTCTTTGGGCAGTCAGGTAATCCAGACTACACAAATCAGTGGTGCCATGTAGTGGGTGTAGGTGCATAGTTCCCCTGAGTATAGACCTCCTACAGTTGGTCCCTGTTAGTAGCAACAGGTTGGTGGCATGGTGCTGTGTTGCTGTTGTGGGGAGTGTCATCAAAACAAAGTAGTGAAAAGGATGCCCGCAAGCAGCTGTTGCTCTTAACAAGTGTTATGGCAATGGGTGCTGAGTGTGTTGACTCTCCTGTGGCACTCTTCATTCTTTGATCTTGAAGCACTTCCCAGATGTTAATGAGTGCAGTCTGACATGCTCCTTTGGGACACATCTGTATTGCTATTCCCTTTGGGCAGATGGGGGAACTGAGGCAGGTGACATCTGAAGTGACCTGCTTAAGGTCCTGACTCCCCATCCCATAGTTGAGCTCTAAAACCATCCTTGGGTGGGGCGGGGATTTGGGCTCTCTTCCCTATTGGATAAGTTTCTTGCAGTCTCCCAGGGGTGTGTGCAGGATCCCAGTGTAGACCAGGATGACTTGAAGTTGGACTGATTCTAAGTCCCCCTTCCCTTGCTGATGCTGAAATCCTCCCCCCACCCCAAATTGCTTGCATGCTTTAATATGGCCACAAATGGGATTTTATGGGGTGTATGATGCATGTCAGAAATGTGGCAGGAAATCCTCTTGTCCTCCAAGCAGGGCATGAAGCCTTGCTGTTCTGACCATGCTGGGAATACCTCAGCTGGACTGGCTCATTCAGCCCCCAGAGATGAGGGAAAGGGTGGGGAATGAAAGGAACATCAATAACCATGGAGACCAGGAAACAGACTTGGAAGGGTCCTGGCTATGAGGAATGTCTTGCAGGCCCAAATCCCTTGTTCCTGGCTCTGTGCCATGTATTGTGCCTGTTTGTTTTCTCAGGGCTTGTTCAAAGGAGCAGGGAAGGTGCTGAAGCCCCAGGGTGTGCTGTTTACCTATGGGGTAAGTGATTGCTCCCAGGCTGGGCACAACTTACTGGACTGGGTGCCCTCAGCCTGCTATCAGACTGGGGCTGCATTGCTTTGTGCAGTTGTGGCTACCGCCTCATCGAGACCCAGGGAGGGAGGGGGAGGTTATCCTGAGGTAGTGAGGAGTGGAGTGGCTCTAGTGGTCATGAGGGGTGAGTGGTCCCTTTCACTGGAGCTCCCTGCTAGTTGAGAGCACGGCTGCTAATGCTGCATCTCTGTCCCAGGGAACTAGGGTTTGGGACCACAACCAGCACTGGTAGCCAGAGCACATGGTATCATTGGAGACAGCAAATTCTGGGCTTGCGCTTGGATGTGCCACCTGGTGGCAAAACCATGTTACATCCCTGGTGACTGCTCATGGTATGCTGCTGGGGGGAAGGAAGATTCTTCGCTCTACTCGCACCATGAGGGGTGGTCTGGCTGGCTCTGAGGGTCACACTGTTGAGAGAGCTCAGCACAATGGTGCCAAGTCCTTTGACAGCCTGGCCCTGATCATGAGTATTGAGCTTCAGATATTGCCCCTGGGTCCTTTCCAACCTGCCTGCTGCCCTCACACACAAGGCCTTTTACTCTGCATATGGGATGGCCCTGTGAGGGACTACCAGGAGCCTACATACTGGGGACATGCTTTTCCCCCCTGCTGTTTTTGATTCTTTTCTGTTCACTAATATGTCCTGTCCACTGCCCTTGGAGTACTCTTAAGCCCTGAAGAACTTTGGCCTTGCAGATCTGATGTCGGGCAAGCTGTTATCAGCAGGCCTCTGGTGCAGACAGTGAAACTCTGGCCTGGAGATATGAGGACTTGAGGTCCAAGACTTGGCCGGCCCAGGGTTTAACTCCAAGGGTAGCCTTACTCCCTGGGGGAGGGACATCCTGCCCCAAACTCTTTACATACACATTCAGAGCTCAGCCCCACCATTCCCAGCTTGGCCTGAGCAGTGGGTAATTGGTGAATCCAGTTCTGACTGGTGACTTTGCTGGATGTCTCATTAGTCCTGGGTGGAAGGGGTTGCCTGGTCTGAGGAGGGAGAAGGCCAAGGGGTGGGAAGTCCTCTCTCAGGCTCCTCCTCAGGCAGCATCTGCACAGAAAGATCTAAGGACTCCGTAGTTTAGGACTACATGGTCTCAAGACAGGTTCTGCCCGTCTACTAGGGTCTGCGAGGAAGAGAGCATTGACCTATTTTATCTTTATTCTCTGACTTCTTCCCTTCTGGTGTTTGGGGGTGTGGGCTCACATCTGATCACACCCAGTCTGTGGCATGCAGGTGCTTGAGGTGCCCGCAATGAGTCCAGTTTCTAATGAGTCCCTTCTTTGTGTCCCTCAGCCCTATGCCATCAATGGGCAGATCAGCCCACAGAGCAACGTGGACTTCGATCATGCTCTGAGGCAGAGGTAGGGGGGCTGGGGCCGGGGCTGTGGTGGGAGCAGGAGGTGGACAGACCTGGCAGCTCCCACTGTGGAATGAGAGGAGGGGTTTGCTGGTGCTGAAGTGGGGCCATCCTTGCAGTGAGCGACTGCAAAGATCTAGGCCCCTTTTGCCTGGGCTGAGGGGAGAGAAAGGGCCCCAGCATGGTGAGGGCAGTACACTTCTCCCAGAGCATGTCCATGCCACTTTTCTTGAATGTGGTAGCATCTCCAGGTGAGAACCACTGTTGTTGCTGCCTCAACTTATTTGGTGCTTCTTAACCAGGTGCTGCTGCCTCCAGGTGAACCTGCCCCACGCACTTCCTGCTGCATTAGAGCTCTTGTGATTGAACTGACTTGGACCAAAAATGAAAGGAACCTGGGGGTAATAATAGACCACAGTATGAATATGAGCTGGCAGTGCAATGCTGTAACCTGTAGGGCAAATAACACTCTGGCATGCATCAATCAGTGCATCTCCAGCAAAAGCAAGGAGGTGATTTTTCCGCTTTACTCAGCACTGGTGAGACCGCAGCTGGAGTACTGCATCCAGTTCTGAGCACCGCACTTTAACAAGTACATGGACAAGCTTGAGAGAGTCCAAAGAAGAGCCACCTGTATGATCATGAAAAGGCTGAGGGATCTGAGACTCTTCAGCCTGAGGAAAAGAAGGTTGAGAGGGGACCTGGTATCAGCTTACCACTACACTAGGGGAGTACATCAAGGGCTCAGTGAGCAACTGTTCACCAGGGCACCCGAGGGGAAAACCAGGATTAATGACCATAAACTCCTGGAAGATCTATTCAGGCTTAACATTAGGAAAAACTTCACAGTCAGGGTGCCCAGATTGTGGAATAACCTCCCTCCAGAGGTGGTGCAATCACCTACCTTGGAAATCTTCAAGAGGAGACTGGACAGTCACTTTGCTGGGGTCACCTGACCCCCAGTTGTCTTTCCTGCTTGATCTTCCAAGGTCCCTTCTGGCCTTACAATCTACAAATCGGCGTAAAGCAGGCAGGAGCTGCCTCATGCTTTGCCTGTTTCTGGAAGGAGTGCGAAGGAAAAGCTGCATGTGGGTGGAACTGCCCTAGGTGCCTCTGTTTCTGGGAGGAGAATGGCAGGGGCTGGAGCAGGAAGGGCCTGAGGCAGTTTTACCTGGCTGCTGCAGCCACAGCAGCTCCTGATATGTCACAGCATCCCTGAGGGGGTTTTGTGGCACCCTGGTTGAGAACCACTTATCTAGGGACAGCCAGCTCCAAAGGAGCCCTAGATTCATGGGGCAGGGCTCTGCAGGTCCCCTGTCATGCATTTGAAATGACACCTGCTGGCTTTGAGGCATCCTCATGGCTGCTTGTCCCCTGGATGCAGGGATGAGTCACATTCTTGCCATAGTGCATTACTCATGGTTCCCCTTGCCCAACCACCACCCAGACTCCCCAATCCTGAGAGCCCCCAGGCAGGAGATCCTGAGGGGAGCTGCAGATTCTTTGGAGAAACACTGTGGGGGAGAGGCTGTTCCTGAACCCAGTGCTCTTATAGGAGAGCCAGCCCTCAGCTTCCTGGAAAATCCCCTGTGGTGAGAGGCTGGATTGAACCATCTCCTTGCCAAGGCAGGAATGACATATCTGGTTTCTTTCCTTGGCAGGAACCCGGCCTGGGGTCTTCGGGACATAGCTTGGCTGCAGCAGTTGGCTGAGGCCAACGGGATGTGCCTGGAGATGATGGTACATGCTCTGCCCTGGATTCCCTCCCTGCATCAGGCCCACCCACAGAGTCTGGGGTCTCTCAGGGAGGGGGTGACCCCACCTCTTCACTGAGTGCCTTGGTGTCTCCTTGCCAGAGATGGTCCTGGGTTGGGGTTAGACCCCGGGATGAGGTGCAGCAGGGTGTGCAGTAGGGAGGGGTGAGGAGGCTCTAAGGCAGTTCCCAGCCCCTCCAGGTCAATGGGCTGGCATATAGAGGTGCCTGCTCTGCTCACCACCACCACCGCTGGGTAACGTGCCTCTTGGTGCCCTGCTCTACAACTCAGTCCCTGCCTCTGGGGGAAGGATCACTCCCTCTCCCCAGCAGGAGTCTGAGCCTGTCCTCTTTCTGGTATCCCTATGGGTAAATGGAGCAGAACTTCCTCTTCTCTGCTCTCATGGCATTTTTAGAGGCCTAAAATTTGGTGGTTGTGGAAGAGGCAGGGCTAGAGTTAATGCAAGCTCCCTGCAACACAACCTGAGCTGAAGCAGGTGGGGAACTCCCTTTCTCCCCTTCCCTCCAACCAGAGCTGCTGGCTCCAAACTATCCAAGCCACAACAGTGCTTGCAGCTCTGGGCCTGGCTGGGAAACCAGATCTCTCAGTAGCTCGTCTCAGTGCAGGTGCAGTCCTCTGACCCTGGCTTTGTGCTTCTAGGTGGACATGCCAGTGAACAACAAGTGTCTTATCTTCCGCAAGCAGTGACCCCCTGTCCCAGCCTCTGCTCCAGAACTGCCTTCTGCTTACCTGGAATCAACTGCATGTCAGTGTCTGTGATGCTCTGTGTGGCTTGTGATGTCCCCAGGGTGCTGGAAGAGTTTCTGTGGGGGCAACCCCCAGCTGAAAACTTGGCAGCAGGACTGCTGTGTGGGAAGTATGGGTATTACTGACCCCCTGCTGTCTGTTCTGGAAGCCCTTTGGGGATGGGACCATTCAGGCAGGCTCTCTATTGCACTCTTGCCTGCTCCCCTGCTTCTGCCCCCGTGAGCTATGTTTCACACCCTTAATGCAGCTGCCCATAGTCAGGCCCTAAGTGTTGATGGGTCCAAGGAAGAGCAAACCACATGGTTTGGGTCACCTCCCAGCCCTGAGGTAGGCCTAGCCCAGCCTCAGCCCTCTCCATTGACTATTTCAGATCTCCCACAAGCCTCCTTTTCTTTATAGTTCTTTAGTTCTTCTGCCTGTGCCTGCCTTCCCCTAAGGGCCAGTTTCTCTGACTCTGCTGAAGGTACAGTGGGCTTCATGGCTGTGGGTCCCTAGAACAGGGGTTTTCAGCCTTTGGGGTCAGCGTACCCCTGGTGGCCAAACAAAGAGCGGGGGGGAGTGGGTGCACAGCCGAACACGGAGTGGTGGCAGATGCTGTGTGCAAGCTTGCCCTGCGTCTGGCAGGCAGTGCAGGATGGTGTGTGGCATCACTTTGTCCCTGCCCGACCCTGTGTACCCCCTAGGGCAGGGGTTGTCAACTGGTAGCACGCGAGAAGGCCCTAGGGGGTACGTGCGGGCGAGGGAAACGAAGCACTGCCACGCACCATCCTGTGCTACTGTGCAGGCACCACCCACCCATCCAGATGCTAGACGTGAGGGAAGCTCGCACACGGCAGCCCCCCCGCACCCCCCCACATCTGGCAGCCAGGGGTGCACCGATCCAAAAAGGTTGAAAACCCCTGCTCTAGGGTCTTCTCAAGTACCCCAGAGGTACACATACCCCTCATTGACAACTGCTGCCCCAGAAGATTGAACCACTTAGGTAGGGACCCAGTGGAGGTGGGTGCCTTATATTAAGCATCCCAAGTTTTAGTATTCCAGCCTTTTCTCCTTAGGAGCTAAGGCAGCACGTTGAAGTGCCTGGCAGCAGGCACCCCCCTTCCAAACACTGCCCCGTGGCTCCTAGTGCTGAAGGGATTGAAATGCACCCGGCCAGCTGGTGTGCTGGTCTGAATCTCCCCACCAGGGGGCAGCAACTCTTCAGAGGACATCCCTGTTGGTTGGGGGAGAACCGGGACCTCTGAACAGCCCTACCCCGCAATGCAGCGTGTGGGCAGCCCACGGCTCACAAACAGGTGTCAAAGAAAAAGACCTTGTTTCCAGTGGGGAAAGAGGTGGTTTTGATGTAGAAACGATATCCTGTCACATTGATGAAGTGTTCATCCAAATTGGGGCTGAAAAATAGGGGTGGGAGTTTCAGCCATGTGGGTGCATCAGGAGCACCAGTCCCATTAGGTACCCAAGGGACTCGTGGTCCCAAAACACTGGGCACTTTTGGAAATTGCAGCTTTGCTCCCTTGTAAAAGCAATGTCCAGCAGCTGCAGAATGACTATGTGGGGTGATGGTTCCCTCCAGTGGTTGAGCTAGAGCATTGCAGTGGGCTTCAGCCCAAAAGAGGGCTGGGTGGTTGCTGAGGAGATGGCCCTGTGGAAAGATGTATGCTGCTGTGCTCATGCCCTCTCATGGGGACCTGGCCTTTGGCCCAGTAGATACATGCCTGTTGCTGGTTTCTTCCTGAGCTGACTGGTGTGTGGTGTTTGTCCAGCCCTAATGCTGAGCTTTGACCCTGGGTTGCCAGGAGGCCCATGGGGCTGGTGCGATACTCAAAAGGTCAGTGTAAGGATAGTGTTTTGGGTTGACCAAGGGTCTCCATTAGCCCAGGCCAGGCCTCTTTCTCCTGGCAGCCATGTGTGTATGAGGGAGTGAGGGGCCTGTAGTTCCTCAGTAATATATGCAAATATATATATACTGACATGGGGTGGAGGTGCTGCCAGCAGAAAGGGGTGGGGGAGGTGGCGTTCTGGCCATCCACCTCTGCTCCTCTCTGCCCCCTCCATCCCAGTCTCAGCCTTGCTTTAGCCCAGCCTGCAGATGACTCATGGTTTTCTGGTCCTGAGTCCCCAAGCAGGAGCCAGTACTTTGAGGCTCTGGCAGGGGAGGGGGCTAGTATCTTATGCCATGTCAAGCCCTCTCTGATAAGGTCAGAGTGACCAGCAGCCACAGGTCCACAGCACTGACCCTCGCTGAGCCCATCTTGGGTAGTGTCAGCAGAGAGGACACAGGAGCTAGGCCTCCTCTCTCAGCCCTAGAGGAAGGAGGCTCAGCCCCACTGACGGAAGGAAGCTTATCCTCTGCTTTAGCTGCAGCCTGAGAGGGGCTTCCTTTTAACAGAATAACCAAGGAAGGCTAATGAAGGCACGATGGTCCATTGAGCAGACCACTGGGGACTCAGGAGACCTAGGCTTTATTTCAGACTCTGGTCCTGCCCTGCTGGGGTACCTGGGGCTGTTGCATCCCTGCTCTGGGCCTTGGGGTCCTCAGTGGGTCCAGCAGGAAGAGCCACAGAGCTTGGGATCCTGCGCGTGGGAACGTACCGTACGAGATCACTGGTGTCTGCACAGTATCCCTCAGAAGCCTCTTGTGACAAAATCTGTTGCTGCCACAAGAGCCCTGTTCATAGTTTTATTTCTGGCCATTCTCCAAATAAAATCCTGTCTGGTTTTCACTCTGTGGCCTTGGTGTCTTTGTCACAAGCAGGCTGGATCAGGCCAGCCCTGCAGTCCCTAAAGCTTCCTACCCCAAACAAGTTGTACCTCCAGGCTGGCATTGCCCAGTGCCCTGGGGTGGGGGAAGAGGTAGGGGCTGTTTGCCTCTGCTGGCAGTACAGGTTTGAGATCTAGCACATTTCAGTTGGGAACAGTGCAGGGGGAATGGATTACTGATCTGCATCTCCTGTCCCACCTTGTCAGCTCATCCCATGCTGCTGAAATCGGTAGCTGGAAGAGCCAGTTTCTCCCATGCAGTGAAGCAGAAATCTGAGGCCCACAAATTATAGGAGTTGCCTGCCTTTCACTCTTGTCCCCCACTCAGTCCTCCTGACTGCAGGGCAGCTGCCTCCAGGCTGTTCTCTCTATAACACCCTTTGTAGCTCAGTCTGTTGCTAACTAAAGCCCTTGCCTGGTTACTTGCTCTTCCCTATGGGAAGCTCAAGGGGAGCCTTTCCCAGAAACACTGCTTCCAAAGCAAGGTCCACAGGTAGGAGACAAGGGGTTCCCTCTTGCTGGGGTGCTTGCAACACCTTAGGAAGCTGCCCCAGGAAGAGTTCTGCAGTGCAAGCAAGGGCTTTCTGGACCCACCCAGCCATGAGCTGTGCTATGTATGAGTCTATGTGGACGAGCTCAGTGCCTGGTTAGACAGCTCTCCATGAATGGGCTCTCCGTGAATGTAGCATCCAGCTCTAGCCAGCCACTAAGCTGAGCTGCCCTGTGCATACATTAGAGCAGCAAACTTAGTTTATAGGAGTTAGAGCATGGCCAGCCCTTGCATGGGTTCTGCTATGGTAGAACAGCACCAGGGAGCCTCACTGAACAAGAGCTGAGTGCATTTGCAGCCCTGGTGTTTCTTGTCCAGCAGGGGACCATCACACCCAAAGCTGAGCAAGGTTCCCACAGGAGCTGCATTCTTTATTACCAGGGAAGGGATGGACAAGCCTGTTGGACCCCACCCAGCAAATGGAGCGTGACACCAGCTAATGAACACCCCAGCCCCCCTGCCTGGTCAGTGCTAGCAGTCTGAGGGGTCTTTCTCCCCACTGCTATCAGGGGAGTTCTGCTGGGGATGATTTTGCCTCCCATGCTCTGGGCCTGAATCTTCCTACTGCAGATGAGTAGGGGACCATGCCTTGTGATGAGCAGGATCTCACAACCTCTGTATACAGGCACGGTGCCTAGCGCTAGCCTATTGGGTAGGGTCAGAGCCCTGGGGCTAATACAAGGCTCTGAGGAGGGGAGATACTCAGCTTCATAAGGATAATGTTTTTTATTCAGAGTCAGGACTTGGCAAGTTACATGGACAAGACATACGGACACATAAATTACAGTCAGACACAGGTAGTTACTGAGCTCATCACCATGGAACAAAGTGGGAACAAAAAAAACCAATCCAATCAACCAAACATTACAAAATAAACTACTGGTCCATCGTGGTGTCCTGAGGTCTCTGGGTTTGGGATAGACCACTCTGAGGGCCTTGGGATGCTGGAAACAGGCAGCTAACCATGATCCCAGGGCTGGCTCCATGATCACTCCATGATCCCAGGGCTGGCTCGTAACTGGCTAGTTGGAGAGATGAAGGCTGGGTTGTCTATTTGGCTGGATGCCCTGTACAGAGATGCCCCCCTGGCTGCACCTGCGGAGGGAACACTGCTATGCTAGTCCTGGAACCTGTTAAGCAGCTCACAAGTTTTCTTCTCAATCAACTCATAGATCTTCTTCACTCGTTTGTCGTTGGCGGCCCGGACGTAGCTGTTGGGGTCCAGCACAGCCATGCCATCATGAACCTCTCCCATGATGATGAGTGGCCCGTCCTCTGTGGTCATGTTGGGGCAAGGGCAACTCCAGTCCATGTCAGTCAAGGTCACTTCCAGGTACTTGATGTTGAAGAACTTGAGGCCCATCTTCTCATCCTTGAGGACATCCTCCAGGGCGAAGCGGGCGATGCCAGAGTCCTGGTCCTCAATGATCTCCATGAGGCGGCCTACGATGGCAAAGTCACTGCGGCAGAGGCTCAGCACCATCTTGCTCTTCAGGCGGCAGGCCTTGCACTGGAGGGTCTTTGGGAAGGGGCAGACATCCTCGCAGCTCTCCTTGCTCTCGAAGTTGTTGTCATTGCCCTCACAGCCACCATAGACAAAGGAGTGGCACTGCTTCATGAGGTGGTTGTAGGCCCAACGAGCCTCCCAGTTTTTGCAGGGGCCTTGCACCATGGGGAGCAGACACATGTTGACGGCGCTGCTCACGCAGGCTGAGCGACACTCCTCATAGGTCTCAAAGTGGTTCTGGTTGGCACCACAGCCACCATAGCGGAAGGTGATGCAGGAGCCCTTCTTGGGGTCGAAGTGCCAGCGCACCTGCCGGGCCTCGCAGTCCTGCTTGTCTGGCTCCTTCAGGCACTCGGTGTTGGGGAATTGCTGGGTGCTGGGAGTGCGAGGCTCCCCGCTGGAGTGCTCCCTCTTGATGACAGAGAGGGGAAAGTCAGCACGGAGGAGCCCGGCAGAGTTCCTGGCTGTGCAGGTGTAGATGCCAGCATCCTCATATTGAGCATTGTAGATGACCAACTGGCCAATGTTGGTGACCACCACATTGCCATACATCTGGTCAGGCCGCATGATGAAGTTCTCCTGGTGGTCACTCTGCTTCTCCCAGGTGATGTCTGGCCGGGGCCGGCCACTCACATCACAGTGGAAGCTCACAGTGCCACCCATGTAGACTGACTGGTGGAAGGGGTTGTTGTAGAGGGCAGGTGGGATGGGTACCTCGGCAGCAGCCCCAGGGGTGGGCCGGGCTGTGGTCTCTAGGGGCACCGGGCTGGTGTTGGGCCAGGTGAAGATGTACTTGCAAGGCACCACGGTGAGGCTGATGCCCCGGATGCAGGCCTCAGCATCCATGTAGCACTTGTTGTAGTAGGTGAGCCCATCTGAGGCGCAAGTGAAATTGGGCTCCTTCTCGCAGCGATCCTTGCATTTGCAGATGGGCTGCCCGTCCCAGATGTCGCAGTCTGAGCCCTGCTGGGTGCACACAAAGCTCTCACATGTGGCCTCCTGTGCCAGCTCCAGGGAGGAGAGGCTCCCATCGGCATAGCGGGCTGCTACACAGCTCCGCAACCCACAGACATTGGTGCAGCATTTCTCAAAGCCTTCACAGTCCTGGGGGTGAGGGGGAGAGGGGAGAAGTGGGAACAGCAGCAGCATTAGAACCATTGCAGGCTGGCATCCTCCCTGCTGCCAGCACCCTGCTCTTACCCCAGTGCACTTCCACTTCCTACTTATGAGTCACTTCCACCTGCTTCTGGAATGCAGCTACCCCTGAGGTGGAACATGGCATCTTTAACAGCACACAGAAACACTGAGGCATGGGTTAAGTCAGGAAAACCCCACAGCTATGAAACACTACAGAGGAGACTCAGGATACAGAATAATGGCCTTGGGGCAGGGAACAGTAGTTAACATCCCTCCTTTCTTGGGGAAGCCCCCCCGAACATTGCTGCTAGGGATATGGCCCTGCCTCCCCTACACAGGTCAGCTGTCTAGCCAGGTGGACTCAAAAGGTAGAGTGCCACTTACTGCCTAGCAGTTCTGCAGGAGCAGCAGGGCCTGGCACTGCCTTGCTCAGCCCACAGGCTTTAGTGACAAATCCTGAGACATACTGAGAAGAGGTATGCAATTCAGAGCAAGAAGTCAGGAGGTCATGCTCTGTGAAGTGATTTAAGAGTGCTAATAATAGTCCCGATGAATAGAGCCGCTGCCCTTCCCACCCATGGCTCCAGGCTCATGTTACAACAGGAACAGCTCCATGGCGTATGTCCCACCACTCTCTCTATTTATACATGGGGAGGGAAGCCAAGGTCTGCACAAGGAACCAGTGGCAGAGTTGGGAATCACCCTAGATGCCTGACTCTCAGTCACTCATCGCTTGTCTTCCTGGGGATTCATGTATCTCTAGTATACAGCTGCTTTTCCCTGCTCAAGGAGCCAACAGCCCATCACAGGACCAGGCTGCAGGAGCGTGGGACCTGCAGGTTCAGTGAAGCCAGGCTCCATGGGACGTGGGGTCTGTACCAGACAAACCTAAGTTGCTCCAGATAGGGACAGCATGGGGGGGGGAAATGGAGATGCCCCTTCAAATGCTCTTGAGCTAGGTGGGACTGGGGGAACTCTGGAATGGACACAGAAATACTTTGATAGGAAACACTTCTCTGCAGTTACTGTTGCTCAGGAAGCTGGAGAGGCACGGCTATGTTTTGGAAGGGAGTGTGGTGCTGGCAGTCTGGCAGGGAGTGCAACTCCCCCTTGTTTCAAAGACAAGCAGGAGCCAAAGCTGGCTCCCAGCATCTCAGCATCTCCCCAGGCATTGCAGCTGGTTCTTGGGGCACCCCCATGCTGGGGTGGGCTGTGATGCACCCCTGTGAGGAGAAGGCAGTTCCCCTCCCTGCTGATGTGCAAGAGAGGCTGGACATGAAGGATGCAGGGATGGGGCTTTTATCTGACATGGAGCTGGAAGATCCATTATTGCAGAGTCAGCAAGGGAAGGGACTGGGGGGGTCTGGACTCTCTTCTATGTCTAGCTACTGACACTGTTCTTTAGATGCAATACAGCAGCATGTGGAAACCCCAAGCTAGAGTGAGGCTCCATTGTGCAAGGCTACAAGGAGAGGGTCTCTGCCCATAACTGCCTGAATGCTACACAGACAAAGGTGGGAGGGGCAGATGGCTGGCTCCTGGGCACAGGTCCTGGCTGAGCTCCTGACATCCAAACTAGTGCTCTGCCTAGGGCAGCCCACTGTCTCTCCCCTGCAGACCTAAGCAAAATGCTGTGTGCTGGGAATCAAGGTGCACTGCACTTCAGCTTGCCACCACATGATACAAACCCAATGCCAGTTCAAGGCCAGAAGTGGCTGTCACTTCCTCCCGGTTGAACGCATTTCCACAGTCCCCCAGTGCTGATGAGGCTGTGCAGGGAACCTCTGGGACCAGGCCCCTGGGTCCAGCCTCCTGCTTCCATCCCATGCATTTAGCCCTTTTGCTCCAGTCTGATCAGTGAGTGGCTGCTGCTGGGCTATTCAACATCTCTGCCTCGAGCCCACATTTGCTAGCCTCACTGTAAGGCCTTCATTAATATATCTCACTCCCAGGCACACGTTTCAATCAGACACTTAGCATCCCTCTCAATGCTGCTTGAGTGAAACTGGCCAGCAGCCCCAATGCCCGTGGGGACTGCAATCCCCTCCTGCAGTCAGTGCACAGAGCAGCTCCCTGGAGGGACGGGGGTGCACATGGAAACAGAGCAGCACCTGGCCCCACCCCACAAGTCCCTGCACATGCAGCTGCCCATCATTGTGCCCAGGAGCAAGTGGGCACAGGCTTGTGGAAGTCCTGCAGGATCAGGCCTGGCACCTCAGCTCTAGGCAGGACATCCCTGGAAAGCCTGGGTGACAGGACTGCAGGTGGGGGAGTTGCCCAAGCCTTCAGGCCAATCCCAGCCATCCTCACCCCCCTCCCACATGGCTCTTGCTAATGCAGTTAGGGTAGGATAGTAAGCAATGAAGAATAAACCGCCCCCCACTTGGCCTTTCCTCAGAGGGTGGCTGCAGTGCCCCCTCTGCCAGGGCCTCTATGGGGCCGTGCATGCACTGGGCCCAGCCCCTCTGGGGAGGAGAGCAGGGCTCACCTGGTCCGTGTGGCACTCCCGCTCACAGGTGCTCTGGGCATCCACCCACAGGTTGGGGTTCAGCTGGTTGGGGCATACCCCCAGGTGGCTCATTCTGATTGGCTGGAGGCTGGCCCCCTCTGCCAGGACAGACAGGAGAGCCAAGACAAGTGCTGCCAGCATGGGGTCTGGCTGGCTTGCCCCTGCGAGCTTCCGCTTCCCTTTTTTCCTCTTCAGCCCCCGGCCTCCGAAACTCCAGAGAGGCATCGGTCTGCCCCTGGCTCTCCGGGCAGGAGGTCTCTCCGCCGGGTGTGCTCCCTCTCACGCAGAAACACTCACATTCACTGAGCCAGGCGATCACGTGCAGTGCTCTCGAGTTCCCCGCTCTAGTGTGCCCAGTGCCCAGTGGGCATGTTACCCACAGGCACGACGCCCGATGCCGGGCTCCGTTTCATGCCTCGTTCTCTGCTGGCAGCAGCCTGCAGCGCTCTGTGCTGATCATCTCCCAGCGCAGGAGTCCAAAGAGATCCCAGCATGAGCAGTTCCAGGTGGGGGCCTTACAAGAGGAGACACATCCCCCAATTTCTGGGAACGAATCAGTCCATGTGGTTCCCAAGTGCCATCCAACTTCATCCAGTTGGCTTGCCAAGGAGCTTTCTAAATCCCAGGCTCAGGGGGGCTTTGGCTTTACAGCCACAGCTTTCAACGCGCCCTTAACCCTCTTGGGCTTGTTAAGCTGCAGAGTATCAACAGACAACACAAATAAACTGACTCAGAGCCCGCGGAGCCGGAAAGCTGGTCTGGGGTGTGCATGTGTGTCTGTCTGTGGGGTGGGGGTGGGAGAGGAGGGAGGGAAGTTTGTAATCTGAATCCCCTCCCTCGCACTGATGTGTCTGGGTGTTTGGAATGGAAAAGCCACTGACCTCAGACTCTAACCCCGTCTGAGCTGATCGACTGGGCAAACAGTGGGAGAAGATCAAAGGCAGAATGTGTGGAGCCTCCAAAGAGAGAGAGAAAGGAGGGAAAAAGCCCAGCCCAGGGAGCGAATTCTTTCGGGATGAGAAAATGGCCAGAGCACTCTGTCCATCTGGAGGGGATTGACCAAGCCAGGCCCTGTAGCACTTGGGCAAGCCCAGACCTTGTACCAGGTGCCTGCAGTGTTGCTGCTCTGTTGTCCTTGCTTCCTTTGCACTGGCCAGCTCTTTGTTGGAAATGGCTCCAGGGAGGGTTCAGGGCCAGGGAGCACCTGGGAGCGCCTGCAGCAATAAGTACAGCGTGAGAACTTGGCCAGGGCAGAGCTCAGGAGTGAGGAGATGACCTCCAGTGTCATGGGGCGCTGGGTGTCAGACCAGTGCTCTCACTCCCTCCTTCTCTGCCGAGCACAGAGCCCAGCATCCACTGGTGCCACCAGTTCCTGAGAGAAGACACTGTAGTCAGGGGCAGAAGGGCAGGGAAAGTAGCTCTGCACTTCGGTATTGACAGGGCCAGGGAAGCAAAACATCACAAAATAACCCGCTTCCAGAGGTTGCAGTTTATTGTTATGCTGCTAATCCCAAACCCACTCACAGAGATCCCAGGGGGCTCCATTGAAAGCTGCAGTCCTGGGAGCCAGAGGAGACAGACCCCTGCCATGTTACCAAGGCATAACTCTTTGCAAGCTTGAGCTCTGGGCACAAAAGGCTGGCTCCTATCAGTTCCCACATGGCGCACACATGGGCCCAACCTCCCCAGCAACACTTGGAAAAGGTAGTAAGGTAGTGTTGTTTTGCAGGCCATTCACACCCGGGGTGGGGGGGGTGTCAATGGGACTGGGGTTCCTCCAGGCACCCTTGCATTGTGTGTTCACCCACCAGTCTCCCTGCTCAGGGCTCAGAGAGGTCAATGGTTTTAGCCCCACTGGAATAAGGAAGTTGGCGGGAGGGGGAAGGGCGTGAGCAGGGAGAGTCAACCCGAGCCCGGAGTGCTGCATTTCAGAGCATGGCCACAAGCTCAGACGAAAGGGGAAACCACCCATCCCAAGGGCCTCATCCTCCTGACTCACGTTGTCTTAGTTAGGGGCTGAGCATAAGGGCTATCTATGGTGCTGAGCTCCACAGCGGATGTGGGGACACCTAATGGAGAGGCCCAGGCTGGTGAGACACACGGCATACAACGCGCCTGTCTCAGTGACTCCAGATGAGGAGATGGCCTGGAAAAGCCTCTCCTGTCTGGAGATTTAAAAAAAAATATATATTTCATGTTCCAGGTCAAATTAGCCAAATCACTTCCAAATTATATCAACTGAACGGAATGCAATCGTTCCAAAAACCATATTGATTAAGCAGGCAGAACTTAATTGTTCTAAACACCATGTATAGTGCTACAACCGGCGAGCATCCACCATCCCAGACCTATCACCCTGGGACTTCAGATACTCCTAAATCCATTGGCAGGCATCCTATGTGCAGGCCCAAGCCCAGAGGTCTTGGGGTTCAGATGGCTCCAAATACTACAGGCAAGCATCCTCCATCCCAGACTCTTTAGTCCGGGACTTCAGATACTCTCTACACTCAACCTTAGACCACAAAAGGCCAGGAAGATCTAATGCAACTACAGTAAGAATGCTGTGGGAGACCATATCCAGTCAGCCTCACCTCAGTCCCTGAAAAAATCATGGAGCAGATCCTGAAGGAATCCATTTCTAAGGACTTGGAGGAGAAAAAGGTGATTAGGACCAGTCAGCATGGATTCACCTGGGGCAAATCGTGCCTGACCAGCCTAATTGCCTTCTATGATGAGATGACTGGCTCTGTAGATGCAGGGACACTGGTGGATGTGGTGTACCTTGACTTAAGCAAGGCTTTTGATATGGTCTCCCACAGCATTCTCACAAGCAAGCTTGAGGAAGTATGGCCTGGATGAATAGACTATAAGGTGGATAGAAAACTGGCTGGACCATTGGCCTCAGAGAGTAGTAATCAATGGCTCAATGTCTAGTTGACAGCCAGTATCAAGTGGAATGCCTCAGGGGGTGGTCCTGGGGCCGGTTTTGTGCAAGATCTTCATCAACAACCTGGAAGATGGCATAAAGTGCACCCTCAACAAGTTGTCAGATGACACCAAGCTGGGGGGAGTAGTAGATACACTGGAAGGTAGGGCTAGGATTCAGTGACTTACACAAATTGGAGGATTGGTCCTAAAGGAATCTCATGTCATGAGGTTCAACAAGGACAAGTGCAAAGTCCTGTACTTAGGACAGAACAATCCCATGCACCGGTACAGGCTGGGGGCTGACTGGGTGGGCAGCAGCTCTGAAGAAAAGGACCTGGGGGTTACAGTGGACAATAAGCTGAATCTGAGCCAGCAGTGTGCCCTTGCTGCCAAGAAGGCTAATGACATAATGGGCTGCATTGGCAGGTGTGTTGCCAGTAGGTAGGGAAGGGATTATTCCCCTCTATTGAGCACTGATAAGGCCTCATCTGGAGTACTGTGTTCAGTTTTGGGCCCCCACTACAGAAAGGATGTGGACAAATTGGAGAGAGTCCAGCGGAGGACAACCAAAAAGGATGAGGGAGCTGGGGGCATAACTTATGAGGAGAGGCTGAAGGAACCAGGCTTATTTAGTCTAGATAAGAGAAGACCGAGGGGGAATTTAACAGCAGCCTTCAACTAGCTGAAGCAGGGTTCAAAACAGGATGAAGCTAGACTGGTCTCAGTGGTGGCAGATGACAGAACAAGGAGGAATTGTCTCAAGTTGCAGCAAAGGAAGTTTAGGTTAGATATTAGGGGGGGTAGGAGGGTAGTAAAACACTAGAACAGGTTACCCAGAGAGGTGGTGGAAGCTGCATCCTTGGAGGTTTTCAAAAACATGAAGATTTTCAAAACCTGGCTAGACAAAGCTTTGGCTGGGATGATTTCATAGATTTCATAGATTTCATAGACATCAGGGCTGGAACGGACCTCGGAAGATCATCGAGTCCAGCCCCCCGCCCAAAGGGCAGGAAGTCAGCTGGGGTCATAGGATCCCAGCAAGATAAGCATCCAGTTTCATCTTGAAGGTGTTCAATGAAGGCGCTTGAACCACCTCCGGTGGCAGGCTGTTCCAGACCTTGGGGGCTCGGACAGTAAAGAAGTTCTTCCTTATGTCCAGCCTGAAACGATCTTGAAGTAGTTTGTGACCATTCGACCTCGTCATCCCTTGGGGCGCTCTGGTGAACAAACGTTCCCCCAGATGCTGGTGGTCACCCCTGATAAACTTGTAGGTGGCCATCAGATCACCCCTGAGCCTGCGCTTTTTCAGGCTAAAGAGCCCCAGGGCTCTCAGCCTGTCATCGTAGGGTCTGCTTCCCTGACCTCTGATCATGTGCGTGGCTCTTCTCTGGACTCTCTCAAGCTTCTCCACATCCTTTTTGAATTGTGGAGCCCAAAACTGGACACAGTACTCCAGCTGCGGCCTCACTAAGGCCGAGTACAGGGGGAGAATGACGTCCCGGGATTTGCTTGAGAAGCATCTATGGATGCAAGCCAGCGTTTTGGTCGCTTTACTAGCCGCCGCATCGCATTGCAGGCTCATGTTCATCTTGTGGTCAATGATGACCCCCAAGTCTCTTTCTTCCATAGTGCTAGCCAACATAGCACTGCCGAGCCTATAAGGATGATCTAGTTGGGAATGGTCCTGCTTTGAGCAGGAGGTTGGAGTAGAGGACTTTTGACATTGACGACACGTAGGGGGTGGACGCGGGTGCATGTGCACCCCCTGAGACTGACAGTTGCCGCTCGCCACCCCATCTGCACCCCGCTGCTGATATTGCTGCAGCCACCTGCAGGCGACCCCCGCTTGGCCTGCCTTTGCTGCTGACATCAGCGTGGCCCCCTGCAGGCAGTCCCCTGCTCACCACCGCCTGCAGGTGGTCGCCGTGCCCCCCAGCCTCGGGAGGCATGAGGCACTCATGACTCCTGAGGTCCCTTCCAACCCTAACTTTCTATGATTCTATGATTTGCAGATGAGGAAACATGGGGAGGCAGGGACATGGCCAAGGTCCCATAACAAAAGCACTAGCAGAGACAAGAACAGACCCCCTGCCCCTCCCCCGCATTCTCTGCATTTACCCCAAGACTCCCCTTCCTTAAGTGAGGCAAACTCTGCCCCGCTTCCACACCACCCATTCAGTTCTTCACTCCTTCCATTTAGATCTGTCTTATTCTCACTGATGAGAGGTTTTGCACTGAGAACTCCAGCCTTAATTTGGGTGAGCTCCAGACCCCTCCATCCTTACTAGACAGGGAGCAAGGGGGCAGGGAAATCAAAGCCAGCCTCATTTCAGACACTGGATTTCATGCTACCATTTTACATAAGCACTTTTCATATTTAAAAAAACCTGTAAATAATTAACCATAGGAGGTAGTAATAAATACATTGTACTTGTGAAGTGCCAGTCTGGGTTGGACCTGAGGTCTCTCTGGCTCTGTGCCTGGTCTCTGATGGTGCCAGCACTACCAGATGCTTACACACCTTCGAGTATTTGCCTGTTGATTGCTCAGAGAAAAGCACAAGAATCATAGAATTTTGGTATTAAAAGGGACCTTTAGGGTCACATAGTTCAGCCCCCAAAGAAGCACCTCAGTACTAAGAACTGCTAGCCTATTCCTAGGCCTTTTCAGCAGTAGATAGCAAAGCACTTTGCAAAGGAGGTCAGTGCCAATGTACCCTTTTTCACAGCTGGGTAAACTGAGGCACAAAGCAGTGAAGTGATTTGGCCAAGAGCATAGCTCCCATTGCCACTTTTACCCTATTTTAATCCTGAGGAGTCAGGGATTAGCCAAAGCATATGGTTTTATCCCCTGTGCAAATGTTTCACTAGCAGTAACTGCTCTGGCTCTCTTCTGAGCCTGTGGTTGACCTTTTCCTAAGTCAGAGTTTGTCAAACCGTGGAATTTTCCATGCCTGAAAAAATGCCCATTTTTCAAAACATGGTTTCAGTCCAGTCCAGCCTGAACCCAACACCTCAGAGTTGATTGGCAACTAGAAATGCTGAAAAATGTGCTATGGAACCACAGACACAAGGCGTTCCAAGAAGGGATCCTGCTGCCCAGTCCCCTGGCTGCTACTGGCACTGGGTGGCTGTCCCAGAATACTGACCCTGGAAACCCATCCCAGAGACACCAGGTTCCTGGCTCTGCAGAGTGGTGCCTGGTAGCCCTGGAGTTCAGTACTTCTGGGCTCCATGCAGCAGGTGCAAGAGTCCAGACTCAGTGCCCCAGTTTTAGCCGTCTGCCATGACTGCCAGACTCCTGTGATTCTGGGCCAGGGTGCCTGGAAATCATAAGCAGCTCTTGCCATGTCCAGCTGTAACATTAAGAGCTAAGCGTTGGTTGGGAAACAGGGAGGCTGGAAGCCCTGGCATGGTACTTCTTCTGCCTTGAAGCAGCGAACTGGGAGCTGTGGTCCCTGTCAGCCCCCATAAGGCACCTGCAGGTGCCAGACATCCAGCTCCCCATAGTAACTCTGCAGGGGTATGGGCAAAGGAATCTGTTTTGTTGGAAAATTTGGAGTCAGCTCCACTTTGAATCTGGCTGAGCAAGATTGTAACAGATCCAGGACTGCTTGAGATGTCACCGCTGTCCTTATTTACAGCCACATAATGCTTGCATTCCCCAGTCAAGACTGGGGCTGTCATGCTTGGCAACATCCCAATTCAGAAGGACCCAAGAAGCTGGTGTACTCATCACACTGTGCACCCTGGATCCTGGCAGCAGCAGTCTTGATCCACAAGGCTTGATCCCCACCACTGGAGCTGCAAAAGAATCGCCTAGCTACTAGCAGTAGAAGGCTTATGACATTTTGTTGAGCAGTTCTGATTCCATCCAGTAGAGGGTCTTGATGGTCTCTAGCCACTACCCAGCTCATTACTGCAATATTTATGGCATGACTTAACACTGGTCATTGACAGTGTCTCTGGGCATGGCTCCAAGAAAAAGTTAATGCAAGGTAAGCTGGTGTATGAATTTATAGCATATCAGCTACCACACAAAAGGCAGCTTGTATACTGTACCCTCTTACTTCAGGAAAATGTGAGGAAAGCTTAAGCTTGTATACTGTACCCTCTTACTTCAGGAATGTGTGAGGAAAGCTTCCCCTGCCTCAGACTCACTGGGCAGGAAGAGAAGATGGGAGTCCCAGACAGGTCCTCGCACGGGGCCAGTGAGGTCTCAGCAGAGGGCGGGCCCAGAGCCTGACCTGAGCTAGTGACCTACAGCAGGGGTGTCCAATGGCACGGGCATTGTCAAGGTGTGACACAACCACAGTGACCTCAACAGCACTGGGATGTTTGACTTGCTGTTTTCACTTTCCCCAAACAGCTGTCACTGCAAGAGGAACTGCTCAGACAGAGACAGACAGGCTGGACTAGATGACCTCCTCAGGTCCCTTCAGTTCTACTTTCCTATGATCCTATATGCCAGCCCCTGTCCCTTGAATTATTCAGTTCCCACCTTTAATTTCCATATTATTCTTGCCCATGTGACTGGATTATCCTAGGGCAGTGGTTTTCAATCAGGGTGCTTTAGGGTGCCAAGCAATTTTAGTATTGTTAGGCATGCAAACATGATTCACAAGATAAACCCAGAGATTTCAAATAAGAATCCACAGTATTAAGAACCTTTTGACCTGCTGCCATCTTTCTGATTTTTTTGCAACAGAAGAATTGCTTTGTTACTTTTCTGTAGTGAAAATTAAGAGATGACATTTTCCAAGGGGTGCCTTGAGCCCTAACAAGAGATGCCTTGAGTTTATCGTGGGATTCCTTGAGTCTAAAAAGGTTGAGAACCACTCAAAGTGTTCCTAAGCCAGGCTAGCAGTGATGAGGTCTGCTGGCAGAGCTTTCTTTATTAGAATTGTAGAGGGGGAAACTAAGTCCCCAGCCAGCAGGGCTAGGCTGGCAAAACCTAGCAGCAAGTGTCCTTTTGCTGTTGTTTATGTTAGCAAAAGATCTGTTCTGGCCCACTTAGCCACCT